TAATATTTTTGACAATGTTTGACATATAACCTCCATTACTAACGTAACCTACATTTAAATGTATGTGGTGAAATAATCTAAGTCGTACGTCCATATCTTGATTCATACCATTTCTAAGCGATCTGTCACTGCCAGCTCTCGTGGTTTCTACTATACCATTTTTATATGTTGTTAATTATATTATTGTATTTTAATACTTTTAGAACATAGTTCAATTAGAAAGTACAAAACCTTACATATTATTTGGTAAAAATGTTATAGTCATAATACCTAGCTTCTGGGGTGGTGAGGGTGGGTTTTTATAATATTCTATTTATTATTTAAATAAAGAGTTAACTATAAATATCGGAGATAACTCTAATGACTTCGACTTTCTACTGCTATTTTGTTATCCTAGAACAATTTCAAAGTAAAACGATTAAAAAAAATTAATTGGATAAAAAAAGAGCCAAACCACGTTATATTCGTAGCGTAGCCCAAAACCGAACGAATTGGTGTTTATACTGATAAGAGCTCGGATTATTCGAGTTCGTTCACTAGGAACGTTTTTGCGCACAGCACCAATACAAAAATGCACTCGTTTATATTTCGTTTCTCGTTTAGTATATAAATTCTACAGGTTTCTTCCCACTTCATAAACAAGAAAGTTCTCTCTGTATACAAACATCCAACATTTAGTAAGAAGTAAAGATGTCTACAACAACAGCTTGTTGCAAAGGTAAATAATACATAGATAATACCGATAATACTTAAAAAATTTAGTACACATAATAATTTAATAATATAAACAAAATTTTTTATAATTGCTTTTAGGTACCAAAACCGAAGATGGGTCTTGTACTTTGAAAAAAATGTGCACTCTTGAAACTCCTGATGGCAAAAAAGAATGCGAATGCGTCTGTAGATGTACCAACAAATCCGGAAAAAATTGCGTTGAATGTGTTTGTAATTGCGTTTGTACTTTAGAAACCGCCCAAAAGATTGTAACAGAATCCGGGGAAGTAAAGTATAGATGTGAATGTAGTTGTGAGTGTTAAGTTTTTCACACAGCACGTTTTTCTACACACGGTACTATTCTCCGTTTTGCACACGATACCAATAAATCTCAATACTTTAGTTTATGTACGTTTGTAAGTCTAAATGCTAAAACTCTAAATAATAAAAAAAATAAAATTTATAACAATTAAAACTTTATTTATTTAAAAACTTTAAATGCCTAATTATTATTAATAATTATTAAAAATTCGTTTAATAAGAATTATTTAAAAATAATTAAAGCGACCTCTCTATAAAGATAGACAAAATTGAATTCATCAAAGTTTAAAATACCACCTATAATTAATTTGGTTAAATATTTCAAAAAATCCTAAAACTGCATACATCGAAAATCATAATGACTCTAAACCAAAAATGATAAAGATCTAATAAAAGATCAATATTATAATGAGAATCAATATATTCTTAATACATCTTGAATATTAACCATACATTTTCAAGACTTGTCGATGTATCGCATAAACTTGGAGACACTCATCAGACAATGATTTGATGACAATCAGCCTGGTACCTTTCAGCTTCTAATGATAACTGGCCGACTCTTGTTATATACAGAATGGTTCAAATGAGTTAGAAAAAAAAGTAGCATACATGTCTCGATCACTTTTTTTTAATAAATTTCAATGTCGAAAATGTCAAAGAGCTATCGTCTTGTTTTTCCCCTAGAGGTCAAAATTGAAAATATCGTAAAACCAGCAAGTGCAATTATCTTGGTTATTATTATAGGTGCAGTGTTATAACTAAAACTTTGTTCTTTGGGACTGCACTACTTGCACTAAGCAGTTTAATGCAAATGTTGTGTGTTCGTTGGGGATAGTGTAGTTTAGTGCAGTTGCACTCATACTGTTCGTTGGGCCATACGCAGTGCAATTTCGTGCAGCGGGTGCAGATTTTGTTGCACCTGCTTTCGATTAAGTTCAATAAGGCCCACTTTTACCACTTCTTGATAAATTTAACCGATAGATAAATTGGCCAATGAAAGCGCTTAAAACCGCTGTACCCATGGTAATTATCTATCGGATAAATTTATCAAGAGGTGGTAAAAGTGGGCCTTAGACTCGTTACTACCATCTTCTGGTTATGCTATCTAAGGGATTATTACCACAGTTACGGCTATTTTACGCTTTCTGATTGGCTAGTAGATGGGTTGGGTTGGGTTGGGTTGACCTAAGGTCCATTACTACCATCTTTTAGTTAAATTTATCTTATAGATAAACCCATCTACTAGCCAATCAGAGCGCGTAAAATAGCCGTTACCATGGTAATAATCCCTTAGATAGCTTAACCAGAAGATGGTAGTAACGGGCCTAAGTGCAGTGTAATTCAGTGTAATTAAAATGGCGGAATATTTGAAAGCGTGTTTTGTAATAATTAATATTTGTTGTATTAGAGAACACAGTAGGTATATTCAATCCCAGTAGAGGCAGTAGAAAACTACCCCTACTTTTTTGGAATAATTTAAAAACTACCCTGTCGATTTTGGCGGCATTAAATACACTTATAGTACATTTTAAAATATTAATTATGTGGTTTTTCTTCTAGGGGTGGCTGGGGTTAACTACCCTCACCACCTAATTTTTTTTTTGCAAGTACTGCTTATCGATTTTGGTGCAATTTAGCATGTGATTTCTTCATACGTTAAGTAGTACTTTTGAAAGAACTTATAAGGATTAGTTTGGTGTACAAAATACATTTCGCTAATAATTGAAAAAAATTAAAATAATAATAATAATATAATAATAATTGATGAATCGCTACTAAAAAAACATTCTGTGATGATTTCATTTTCCACGAGTATTTTGATGACAATCTCCTGTTCGTCCATTTCAAATATTATACACTTTTGTTTATAAAAATCTGTTCGTTGCGTCCACAGTTACACTTTTATACGGTTATTTATACTTTTTTACGGTTATACACTTTTCTGACCTGCAGTAAGTGGACATGACATTGCACTTACTCACACTTCATTGCACTATGACGTCATACGAGTGCCATGTCGTGCAGAGTAGTGCAGTCCCAACGAAGAAAGCTTAAGACATTATATGAACACCTTTTTATAGAGAATTTGATGACGTAGTCAAAAAAATTATTTCGGTTTTAGATTTTGAGATATTATGACAATTTTCGTTTTTTTAAATGGAAACAACCACTGATTATTCGCTTATTAAATTCGTTATGTTTTTGTGATTACAAAAATATAGGGTTTGACAGGTCTATTTCTTATTGTTTTAGAATATTCAATACAAAATATTAAATATTGGTAACCTTTTACCAATAATACAGTGGCGTGACGAGAAAATTTATTCCATGTCTCATTTTCGAGATTTAGTATTAAACTTCATTTTTTTTATTACAAACCATGGTTGGTCAAAAAAAATAGCGAATTAATTTAGACATTAAGGCTCGTTACTACCATCTTCTGGTTAAGCTATCTAAAGGATTATTACAATGGTTACGGCTATTTTACGCGCTCTGCTTGGCTAGTAGATGGGTTTATCTATAATTTAACTAAAAGATGGTAGTAATGGACCTAAAGCTACTTTTTTCCTATATTTGAGATAGCCTACGATAACATCGAATTTGAGACATCTTCTACTACTAGCCTATTAGTATAACGTCTCAATCAATAAAAACAATACATAACGAATAACAATGTTGGTCAGTTCCCCATATTAAAATTTACTAATGGTAAAAGCACAATTTATGTCAAACAATTCTATTTCGGACACTATGTAAAATAAAATAATTTCTCCTAGAATATTTTTCTAGATTTGTAAATCTTCGGCCAAACACTACGGTTGAGCAGGAAATGCAAAGGATGTTTCATTATCAAAAAGTGTTATTCAAAAAATAAAAATATGTACGAATTTAAATGCCGAGTTTAAAATATCGTCACTAATATTTGCAGAATGTTCCATGTGTTTAACGACTCGACTGTTCTAATACCTTACATAGCTTCCAAATAAGTAGGTAAACATGCATTTCCTCCGATGTAACGAGATCTTTGTCAATATCAACAAAGTTTTCCAACCCAAGTAATTTTTCTGTTGCAAATGGACCACCAACATGACTTTACAACCAATCAGCACCATACTGTTGTTTCATCGTAGTCATTCAGCAACGGTCAAATCGTATTCAAATCCAATAAAGACGGTACTAATTTTTTCCCATCATCCGACTTTTTAATCAATTTTCCTAATACATTTTTACAGTAGTGAGCAGCAGAGTTGTCCACTAAAAGTAAGATTTTTCTGCTTTCGTCCCAACTCTTCATCCCACAATAAAAGCATTTTATGTGATTTATCTTGATATGCTTCTAGTGTCCCTTTGTGTTGATCCATATCGTAGAAGTCGCAGTTTTCGCAATATTTTTCTTCTACTGATTGATGCTTGAAAACTTTCACTTTGAATTTCAAATCAAATTGATACCCAGTAAACAAAGAACGAAAATTTCTCTCAATTTTAGGCACTTATAAGTTAGTTAGCCAACAACAAATGAAGTCTAAGATGAAAATACTCTAACCTTAGAGTAATTTTTTTTTAACCAAACCCAATCGATGTACGTTATAGCCGAGTACGCTACATCAGCTAGATATTATAATATAAGCAAGGAAACTTTGAATGGACAGAGAAAAACATGCGTTATATAACAAACAATTTTCAAAATTTTATAATCAGTAGACATCGGTTTAATCCCTAAGGCATTTTCGCAATGTGTTCATTCTAAATATAATTTTATTATTACTGTTAAAATTATTACAATAAAATATTAGAGAACCTCTTATTTCCATTTACTTCTTCATTAGCCCTTACTTCTGTAACCGCACTTATTCTTTAAGACGTTCAGTGCAGTTTTCACCAACTTTGTGAGCACTGAATGTGTTAAGTTTAACTTTATGAAATGACGTGTCAAGAATAAAAACTTTACATACAAAAAAAATATATTTAATCTTCACTACAAGTATAAATTAAAATAGTTCTTTTAAAAATAAATCTCACATTAATAAAAAACAATACGATTTTACTCATCATCGTTTTCTTCAGGATCATCAAAATCTTCATCTTCAATTTTAGTTGTTTCCAATGTTTTTCCATTGTATTCTTTTTTATGCGCAAACGGCGCAAACATTTCTTCCAAATTTATAACATTAAAATTTGAATGTATCAACATTCTATCAACGGTTTCTTTTAAAGCATTGTAACCTACTTCTAATGATGAATTAACCAAATGTTCTTTAAAAAAAATAAATTAAATATGAAACATAATACATTTTTGTACAACTTACTTTTAGAATGTTTACCAACATCAACCAACTTTTGAAAATACATCAATTGCATATGAAGATCTTTAGCTGGATACTTAACATACATAACTGCTTCATTACACATTTTACAAACTGTATATTTATTGAATATTCGCGTTGAAACATGATTCGTGTCATATGTACAAGATGGATCCTCACATGTCATTTCAAATTGATAAAATTTTCTTATATATTTATTTATAGCTAGAGAAAGTTGGTTTTGAACGTTTCCTAAATAATCCAAAGGTCTGACACTACACTCTTGGTTCATACACTTATTTAAAAATGGTTGATTATCCATAATCAAATCGGTTATTGTATTCAAATGTTTACAAAAATAACACGTAAAAATAAAAGGTTCGCAATTTCGATATCGAATCTCATCATTATATTGAACCATATCATTTTTGTTGATTGAAGAGGATTCGTTATTATTAGGTTTCTTAAAATGTGTTGTATCCAAACCAAGCCAATTTGCAATTTGATATGAGTCTAATTCCGGTATTGGACTACATAATCTTGAAATAACAGGATGAATTTGTTGGGCTAAATAATATTTAACATCTAATTTTAACGTTGTTGAATTTTTAAATTCTTCGATGTGATAACCGCGTTGTGTAGCTGCATTCGATGTTCCATCTTCGCATATTATATAAGGAACTGTATCGCCGTTTTGTAATTGTTTACCACCTTTAGAATTATAACGTAAAGCTACTTGAACGTGGGTTAAAGCATTCTTTTCTGAATATTCTTTAGGATTTTTTGTTAATTGTTTCGTAATCACCAAAAGGGGTAAAGGCACAACGTTTTCTTCTAAATCACTTTTTAATTTAGTTAAATGTTGCTGAACGTTTGTTATTTTTTCTTCGATGGTTTGGTCAGAAAGAATATGATTTAAAATAATTTTTCCCGCTTCTGCCGATAATTGGGACCAATCTCTACGAACGATATCTAAACCTTTATGTTCTTGCGCAACTTTAAGTTGCCCGTTTTTCATTTTTGAGAGTGTAACAGCTGCGTATTTCTTTTTCTTTAATAATAATAAATATTTAAAAACCCCATCGATGTCTAATTCAACCTGTTTATAAAGTTTATTGATTTCAATTTTGATTTTATTGCCAACTTTAAAAACTTGGTCGTAATCCAAACAATTCGTATTTATCATAATCGAATCGGTATCACCGTAAATGACTTCAAAAGTCATTTTTTCAACTGTATCTTTAGTGTTTGTTAAGATTTCTCTTCCTCTTTGCGTGATAAACGCTGCTAAATGTTTAGCGAAAAATCTCGAATTAGAAAAACCTAAACATCCATACATAGAATTCGCTGTTAATTTTAAAGCTGTTTGTCTTATATTATATTGCATGTAAACATCTTTATTTAAATCTGGGTTTTTCATTAATTTTTTTACATCACGTCTACTTTCAACTAATTTTCTTATTTCTGTGGGTAAAACACCCGTATTTGCCATTGAAAAACTTATAACATCACCATTTTGGATTAACGTTGTAAAACAAACATTGTATTCTTGGATAATACTTGGATATAGCGAATTAAAATCCATCAATAAAATTAGTGTATCATAAAAACCAACTTTTGGATCTAAAACTAAACCACCAGAATACGTGGGTTTTTTTCGTTTTGATGCAGGTATTTCAGTATCGGTTTCATCTTTATTAACTTTCTTCATAAATTCTTTATCAGGAACCAAATAATCTTTTTCTGTGAACGCGTGTAATAATAAAAATTCGTTTCTTTCCGATCTACCACCTAATAAGGTTCGCGACATAACATTTCCCGCTATATTTGTTATTTGTAAAGCTAAAGGAATCACATTTAATTCGTACATGATTTTGAGTATAAACGCAGTATCTTGCATGGTTAGTGTGATTAATTTTAATAAATCTTGCGAATTTTGATACATCCTACCTATATCTTCAACTTCTAAACTTAATCGCGATCCATCTTGAACTTTTAAAACCGTTTGGCATAACGCGTCCAAATCATAAGATCGTGATTTAATAAGTTCGTGCGCTGAAACTTTAACATCGCAAACTAAACGACCGCAAAATAGTTCTTTTCCAAATTTTCCATGAGGAGGAATTGCACCCCTTTTAAGACGCCCCAATTTACTGAAATGGCGAATACCCAATTGGGTTAATCTATTACAAAAAAGATCTAATTGATATCCTTGTAAATCATGCCCAACAATTAAATCAGGATCGATGTTATTTAATTGATTTATAAAATATGTTAAAAGAGCTTTTTCACTATCCATTTTTTGTACTCGAGTACCTTTGTATTTTTGAAGGGAATCGTGAAAATTTAATGGAAGTGCTTTGCCATCAGGGCGTGTTATAACTGAAATTTATTTATTATTAAATTAAATAAAACAAGAAAGTAACCCTTTAACGCAATTTGAATTTTAATGAAAAAGCTAAATTTATGTTCTAAACCAGGGGTCTACACACTTTCCAGCGTTAGGCCCATTACCTATAATTTCTAGACTAGTCGCTAAATAACCACATAAAAAGAAAAATAAAGTAATGACTCATTAAGATCCGAAACTGTCATTGAAGAAGAAACTGGCTGATTGAAGACAGTCTTTACAACAGTTTCTAACAGATGAGGGACAATATAATGAAATTAAAAATTAGAAAAAGCCCAGGACGTGATTTAATCACGAATGAGATGACACTTCTAGATCGAATACTCACACTCTTTAATAAAATCATAGAAAGTGGCAAGGTGTCCCAACAGTGCAAAAGTAGCATGACAATACCTATTTACAAAAAAAAAGTTGGCAAGGGACAATAAAAATAGCAGAAGGACTACTATACCGAAAGACTAGAGGAACAACAGATGTTCTTTATTAAGCAGATTACAGAAAAATCAATAGAATTCAATAATCACGCCTTTTTCTGCTTAACTAAAGCCTTTGATCGAGTTAAGAAACAAGACATTATTAACATACTCAAATATGAAAATATACTAGAGCAGATAAGATGTCATATATACTAACACTACCACTAAAATAAAAACCTGATAGAAGCTATTAAATCCAAACCAGGATACCAGATGGGGACCCAAAGTATTAACATAGTTTGCTAAGCTGATGACGCCATTTTAATTGCAAGTAACGAAGATGACCTGCAAAGGCTAGTGATAAAACAAAATGTATGGTAATATACAAAGTACCAAGACACTGCAAGTTGCAAATTGAGAACTCGATAATAGAACAGTTCATACATTTTGAATATCTATTAGTTGAAACTACAAGAACCACCGTGATCTATGTCGAGAAACATAAGCACAAGTGATCTAAGGGATACTGAATGGCGAAACAAATTTATGCATGTAGAAGGAAAAATGAAAATATATGAAGCCATGGTACGACCCATACTAACACATGGTACATATGATTATCTAATATATGATGGAAAGATATTCTGGACAGATGAGATGGTATTTCACCAAGACACTGTACTAAGAAGAGCTGTATTCTGAGAAGGAATACAGACAGGAGGCGAATAACAATTGGGAAGAGATAGACTGTGAGTCAGATATGTTGAAAGAGGAAATAGTAGAAGCTAAAAACTAATAAGGCCTCTGGAGCAGATCAAATCCAGGCAAAAAGTTTTTACAGCCGCATCTTTCAGCCCTCTGAAAAATTCCCAACTATCATGATCCACCTTCCAAGTTTAACGTTTCTAAACCTTTAGTTTTATTTTTAACAATGCCGGATGTGAATATTTGGAAATTATTATCTGCCAAAACAATCATAAATTCCAATAAAGGCACATTTCAATAAATTCTAGATGATCCTCAAGATCAAAAGAAGGTAGTCACAATAGCAGAAAGGAAAAAATGTGCTTTCTTATGCTGAAAGAGGATTATAAATGCGTAATTAAATAAATAACTAGAAGTTACAAGAGGAAATAGCAGTAATTGGACTGGGTGGAAAATATTATAGCAACAGTCAAAGATTTCTGCACACGAAGTTTTTACTGTATTTTATGTTCGGGTACATATTTCAAGTGTGAACAAAATTTTTATTTCTTGGCATTTTTTATCCACGGCTAATGAAGTCCCATGACAGTAATTTTTAATTATTTATCATCCCTGTAAGCATAATCATAGAAGCGCGACTTGGTCATAATGACCGAGTTGGTGTTATATTGGAGTCATTACTGGATTGCGGTAGAACCATGGTCATGGGCAATTAATACATTGCCCATGACTCATTCTCAGAACAGTTGCTAAATAGACAAACACATCTAATTGGCACATTGAGGAAGAACCGCAAAGGAAATCTGCGCGAAGTGACACAAAAAAAAACTGCAAGGGATTATTAACTGTTATTTCTTGAAGAGATAAGCATAACATTCTTATGCTCTTTAGAAAGCACTAAGATTCTCAAGTTAAAGTATAAAATTGTGATACTTGCTTACAATAAAGGGAAATCGCAAAACAATTGCTTATGGTTTATGCAATGTTCTCCAGCTGAAGAAGTCCAAGCCGTCACACCAAGCAGAAATCGTTTTTCAAGTCATGAACTGACTGACAGAGAAACCTGAGTAAGATGTGTTACGAAGCGACAAAAACAAATCACGGGTGGCTTCTAACGAAGAACTTAAAGAGGATTCAAATCTACGATTAAGGAATCATCGCTATGATGTGGAGTGAAAACCTACATTATTCTATCAAGATTTTTGTCACTGTAGGAAAAATATTCAAGCTAATATTTTATTAGCATCTGCGTTATTTTATTTATTTATTATTGAAACTTTTACTGAAAAAAACACTGGTTTTCTAAGTACTTTTGCTTTTATTTACTAAATCTATACGCAAGATATTGGCGGCTCTATTAGTTTACATGACCAATATTATTAGAGTGGGCATGTAAGATGCGTGGTGATTAAATAATTTTCTTGGCCATATAGACCTAGATGGCAGTCAACGTGTTAATAACCCTAACTATTGGCATAAGTACTTTACTGCAATTAAGCAGATTTCTCATCAACTGCAATTAGAAACTTGCGTAATAATCATGTATAGCGTAAACAAATCGCGCGACGAATCTTGCGATAATCGAAGATGTAGATAATTGGAATCTTAACAGTTGGATTTTTTTGGAAGTATTGTTTTCTGTATTTTTACAGCATGTACTACTAGCAACCAAAACTGTAATGTGGTCTATGCACAATGCTGCATCAGCACATTTTTGTCTGGGTGTTGAGTTTTTAAACATAACATATGGATATTTATGTTTTGATTCCCTTTTATCATCGTGTGTGCTAATGAATGTGTAAATGACAGTCGCACTTTAACGATGAAAGATTTAATTTATGTTTTTCAGTTTCTACCGGTTTCGGCGTGTTAATGCCATCCTCAGGAAACCACGTTATACGATTTTATGTTTTCTCTTTATATTATTTTATTTTCTCTTCTAATTTATAAAACCAAGATGTTCTTTTTCGTCTGGGACTGATTTTAGGCGCGAATTCGAACAGCGAAAAAGAACATCATGGATTTATAAATTAGATAAACTAATACAGGTTGATTTGAACATTAAAACGGTTAGAATAAAGGTTGGAAGAAGAGAAAACATGACATGTTTAATTTATATATTATTCCAGGTGAAAACGAAGATTTGAGAGATCTGCATGAATTCTGAAGGGATATTTAATGGGTCAAATGGGTGTAATGATGTCAGAAACACCCAGATGTTTTGAAACGCTTTCTTTTAAGTGGTAGTTATTTCAGTATCTGTATTGCTTACATCTTTTAATAGGACTTCTTAAATTAGAATTAAGCGTCCATCCAATTTTTATGACGTTTATTGGGTACTTATTGGGTATTATCAATAATTTTGGATTTGAACACTTTAAAAAAGCATATTTGGAAAATTAGTAAAAAAATTAGTAATCTCAACTGCATTGATGATGTTTGGTAACTACAAACCACATAAACACCTACAACAAACCACCTTAACAGAAACCATCAAGAACCATGTCAACATGTCTTAAAACACTTCCAAGCATAACTTATAGTTCAGACAAAGAGGCAGTAACGTCAATGTATATATCCAATATTTTGTTATTTTTGAGCATATCCAGTACTTTTCATAGAGTATCAAATCATATACATAGATAACTATTAGAGCAAAAATATCAACCCAACCTAATAAGCTGTCATTTGAAACATCTAGCAAGGTTATTGATAATAGCCAAAACTAGAAAAATTTTATATCATAACATAAATTGTCTTTAAATCAAAAAGAAGCCTCCAAAAACCTCCTTTTTCATAAAATTTGTGTAGTTTACTTTGCTGCATCACAAAATAACATCAAGAAAGTGTTAAAACAAGCTTACAAAAATTCTTATATGCGTTAAAGGGTTAACAAATAATTTAATTTACCACAAAAATGTTGTTGAAACGGCGGATTTGGTGCTTGTTTATCAACGAAATATTTATTTTGCACCAAACAAGTAATCATAACAATTTCATTTTTGGCACTTCCAGTTTTTGTGTTATGACTAACGATTGTTCTTGTATTAATAGTGGCTACTGTTAATGGCGGAGGTGAAGGTGTGTTTTTCATGAAACTTTTAACAGTTAAATTATTCGATGTGTTACAATTCACCTCATATTTACACCAACTTATTTTGTTTGATACAGATTCAGGCTCTGCCACTTCTAACCAACATGGACCTTTTATTTTTTGATCTAACAACAAAATTTCTAAGTAACTTGTATTTAAACCAAATATTTTTGAGTAAGTATTTCCTGATAAGAATTCTTCTGGAATTTGAGGTGATTTAGCCTAAAAAATCTTGTTAAAACTTTATACTCAACATTTTTGTTAATATTTACGGAATATCTGACTTCTAAATATTCAGATTGTAATGGAACATCTGGATCAAAAGGATAATTTTTTGTCGTTTTCTTTGATTTAAATGTATCTAATTTGATATTGTTATTAAATTCGTGATAAACATCTAATAAAGTAACTTCTTTGTTACAATCAAATTTAAACTTAAAAAAAAAGTCATTTTAATATAAAATAAGAAATGGATTCTTAGAAACAAATTTCTTACCGTTGGTCTAGGTAGCAAAAAAATCTTCCTCAAAATATTTCTTACAGCAACACAACAACTTACATAACTTTTAGCAACTTCACAATAAGTTTTACCAAATAAAAAGACAACTCCAGGTTGAATTCGACGATCTTCAAAAGCATCCCACCAAAAAAACCTAAAAACTTTTTTCCCATCTTCATTTTCTTGTAATGGAATGTTTCCACTTTCAACATTTACTATTGGAATATTTTCTTCTTGTTGATTACAACCCTCTCTCATTGTATTCCAACCTTCCAATAATTGTTCTTCTGTAATTGTTTCATCTTGCTCTTTTACAGATTTATACTCCTCAATTTGGGTCATATATTCATCATTTAATTGACTTGATTCAATATTAGTTTGAGAATTACCAATTTTTTGACTTGGTTCTTCAATATGGTTCGATTTAAGTGGTAAATTTTCATATCTTGGAGTTTTACTGTCTTCAAGTTGATCTAATAATTCAAAATCATTTGCATCAAAATCATTTGTATCAAAATCAGCTGCAATATCATCAAATGAATCTAAAGGTTCATCAATTGGTTTAGTAACATCTTTTGATTCAACTTTAGCATCAGATTTACTTTGATTATTTTGAACTTTTGCCAATATACTCTCAGATTTAAAGATTTTCATTGATGTTGGCTTTTCAATTTTCTTCATTTTCATTGGAGTTAATGTGACTTTGGGTGGTTTTGGTACAGAAAACGAATTCATGTAATTTTTAGCGGCTTGCTTTTCATTTAAAAGCGAAGTTTTATTACTGGTTTGATCTAAATCGGATTGATTTACATCAATTTCTTGAATAAGCTCTGATAAAATATCATCTTCCCCCAAATTAACTGTCTCTTTCTTTTTTGATGGCATACTTGATAACATGAATTGTAGATTTCCTCTGCCTGCATTTTCTGATACTGCTTTTCTTTTCTTCGAACTTGAACCTTTACTTTTTGAAGCAGCAGCAATTGAGGCTGAATCTAAATCATCATCGAAAATATCCCTACCATCTTCCACATATCCACTCCCATCTAATTAAAACATTAAACACATTAAATATAAAGTTATAAAAAAATATTTTTATCACACCATCATCGACAATCCAATTTTCTTCTTGCCTATTTAACACTTCTTTCGTATACTCTCTTTCATCTACAACCTCATACACATTTTCTATGTTATCAACTTCGTATTTATGCTTAGATCCCCTTTGTTTATGCTCTTTTAATTTTTGGAGAGCTGCGAAACGGCCAGTTTTATCCAACTTTTGTCGCTTTGCTCTTCCTTCTACTGCATCTAAGATATATTATGATGTTGATATAGTTTAAACTACAAGAAAATGAATTTATAATACCATTTTCCATGTTGTACGGCAAATCAGCTAAAATTCTTGATTAAAATAAAACTTTAAAATAACACATCTATCACTTTAGAAATTGGCGGCAAACTTTTTAATTCTAACCTCAAAACTGGAATTTAGGGATTTTCTTGGTTGGTGTGTTTTATAAAAATTTATAGCGAAATTAAATATTCATACAAAGTATTTTATATTATATTATAGAACAAGTTATGTTATTACATAAGGAATGTTTTTTAAATTATAAATAACGATAGAATAAAACATAAATTATTAATTATTTTAGGGAAATTTATTTAGGTTGGTAACTAAATTTGTGAAGTGAAATCCTCTAAACGTCAACATCCTTTCATTTTCGTAGAGGCACGTCGGTAAGCGTAAATTTTTTATCATACATTTTTCCATTAAAATCTTCCATAATTTCACCCATCCACTTTAAAACTCATCTTCAATAAGTTCCATTAATTAATATAAACACCCATTATCTTTAATTTTAATCAATTTTATTGTTATTTAACCATAAAAACATACCTAGCGTATTTTTGAGGTTATGTTGTAACTTTGTTATTTTACAATTTTCTTTTAGCCTAAGTTAATATGGGTCGTGTTATTCGCGCGCAACGTAAAGGTGCCGGGTCTGTTTTCAAGGCCCACACTAAGAAAAGGAAGGGAGCCCCAAAATTGAGATCTTTGGATTTTTCTGAAAGACATGGTTACATTAAGGGGGTCGTTAAAGGGATCGTCCATGATCCAGGCCGTGGTGCCCCGTTAGCTGTTGTTCATTTTAGGGACCCTTACAAGTTCCAAACAAGAAAAGAATTATTTATTGCCCCTGAAGGAATGTATACTGGTCAATTTTTATATTGTGGCAAAAGGGCTAATTTACAAATTGGTGAGTTATATAATTTTTTTTTCTTAATTGGTTACCTAAAGTAAATGATTTATATGATGATTTATTTTTTTATAGTCTTCTTTTCCCAACAGAAAAGTAATGGTGATACTTTTAATCTGATTTTTTTTTGTTTGAAATTTTTTAATCAAAGGGTTAGAATGTGATTTTAATGTTTTATTTATTTTTAGGAAATGTTTTACCTGTTGGATCAATGCCTGAAGGTACAATCGTATGTAATTTAGAAGAAAAGACTGGTGATCGCGGTCGGTTAGCTCGTGCATCAGGAAATTATGCTACTGTTATTGCTCATAATCATGATACGAAAAAAACCAGGGTTAAATTGCCATCTGGAGCTAAGAAAGTCATTCCATCCAATAACAGAGCTATGGTTGGTAAGTACATTTATTTTTTAATTATAATATCTAATTTAAACAAAGTTTATGATGAATTCTATTTTATAAAACTGAATATAATTCATTGATCAGACATTATAGAGGCTCTTTCTGATGATTAAATATTAAAAACATATAAATCAATAACATTAACACATCTCATTAACTCACTAAAATTTATTTCTTATAGGAATTGTTGCTGGTGGAGGACGTATTGACAAACCAATCCTAAAAGCAGGCCGTGCTTACCACAAATACAAGGTAAAACACTTATATAAAGTTACATTTTTATTGTTTTATTAATTAATTTATTATTGATTATTGTAGGTTAAGCGTAATTGCTGGCCAAAGGTACGTGGTGTTGCTATGAACCCAGTAGAGCATCCTCATGGTGGTGGTAACCATCAACACATTGGTAAGGCGTCCACAGTCAAGAGAGGAACATCAGCTGGTCGTAAAGTCGGTCTTATTGCTGCTCGTAGAACGGGTCGTATTCGTGGTGGTAAAGTGGATACAAAGAAGGAGGATTAGACGATTAAGAATATCTAAAGAAGTGTTCAGGGTTGTCTTTGTATTTTATGTAATTATTAGGTTGACATTGTTTTGAGGTTTTTTAAGTTATAGTTGACATGGAATACATTGATAATTTTGAATTGAAATTGATTTTTTTTTGTAACCTTTATTACAATATAGGAAGTTCCAACTTTTACTTAGGTACTGTATTAGGCATAATATTAATTTTTAGTAGGGAAATTCAACTACCACTAAATTTCTATTGGCCTCAAATTAAAGATTTGCTGAGAGGAGTTGTTCTATTCATCTAATGATTTTGCATTACAATAAAATGTACCAATACAAGTTCCAAACAAGAAAATGATTATTATCCCAAAGGAAATGTATGCTGGTCATTTTTTATTTTGCTGCAAAAGCTAATTTACAAATGGTAAGTTATATTCTATTTGTTTATTTTTATTTTGGGGGTTTGCAAGATATGATGATTTGTTATTATTAAGTCTTCTTTTCCCAACAGAAAAGTAATGGTGATACTTTTACTCTGATTTTTTTGTTGGAAAAATTTGTTTGTTATGAATGAAGGGTTAGAATGTAATTTGAGTTTTTGTTTGTTTTCAGGAAATGTTGTTAATAATCATAATATGAATAAAATGGTTGAATTGCTATCTGGAATGGTCATTTTATCTAATACACAGGCTATAGATTATGTTGGTAAGTACTTTTTTTTTCTTAATTATAATATGTAATAATAAGTTTATGATGAATTCTATTTTTTAAATCTGAATATAATTCATTGATCAGACATTATAGAGGCTCTTTCTGATGACAAAATATTTACATACATATAAATCAATACTATTAGGTGATATTTATTAAAATAATTTATTTCTTACAGGAAATGTTACTGGTGATGGTCGTTTCAATGAGCAAATGGTTTGGTTATAATCTCAGTAGGGGATCCTCACCATGGTGATACACATTCTATATTTATGGTTGTAAAGTTGATATGAAGAAGGTCTAAATTGTTTTGTTTTTTATGTTATGGTTGATAGAGGGAATACATTGATGATTTTACATTAAAATTTTTTTTATAACCTCCAATTTTGAGCCTAGGCATCCTCTAGAAATTTCCAGAGATTTTGTAATGGTACTATTCTTAAACCTACTCTTTTTCTATAAATAAAAGAGGTATATTTTGTTCATAAAACAATTTTATATATATATTGAAGATAGATTATAACAAGCCACTGAGACACTGGTAAAAATGCTCATTATAGTCCGTATATTATAACCAAGTAGGGGCCCATATATGTAAACTTGTATGTTTATGTTAAAAGTAATCCCCAGTGATTAAAAAAAACGGGAGATACATGTCTTTTAAGATAAATACAATTTTTATTTTGTACATTTATAGTGAAAAATTTATTTACTACCGGTTCTGATATTGTCAGCATCATTTAATGTTTAATACCTTCAATATATGATATACAGTATGTAAGGTTAAAAACATATTCAGCAGGAATTATTACACAGGTGTCTCCGAAATGCGTGTACAACGCAAGACCGCAGATTCCTTGGCTCAAAATAGGTCGATTTAAGTTATCTATATCCAAAGTTGCTTCGTTTCGCCGCTAGAGGACTTCAAAGTTAGCAAAATAAATTCTGTTATTTTTTTCGCTTATTCTTTTGTTATTTATTCGAAAACGCGTAAATCAATTTAAACCATTTTTCAGGAGTGAGTTCCTAAGTTCTTCAATTAACATCTTTTTATGGTTTCCAATACAATTATAATTAGAGACACAGAAATAATGGAAAAGTCATTTTTTCAGTTGATATTACCCCATATTTTTTTTACTGGTCAGGCGACAATTACATTATTATTATTTCTGAATAGCTCATTTAATACTGAAACTTTCTGTCTCTTATAATAGGCCCCATACACCTCCAAACAAATTGAGCAACAATCGTTGGTTGTAGAAATTCAAAATTTTTGAAATAGTTGCGCAACCAATTATATGGGGTTTGTAAAGGGACAGAAAGGTGCATCCATAAACATTTTCGCAGACAGTCGGTCATTGAAGGCAATGAGAAGGCGGACAAGCTGGCCAGAGAGGCAGCGAAAACGCCCTTCATTGGACAACCCGGTTGTGGACTACAAAAAAGCCACCTAAAACAAATAATCAACAGTTGGGAGGCCTCAAAGGTAGCCTTACGCTGGAAAGAACTTCCAGCTCACAGACAAGCAAAAAGTATGGTCGCAAAACAATACCAAAGAGGTTTTATGTCTCAGCAAAGGGGACATAAGGACCTGACCGGCCACGCGCCCCTAAAATACCACCTCTTCCACATTGGACAAGCTGAGAATCAAACTTGTCGACTTTACAATGACGAGTCAGAAACGGCTGAACATATACTCTATAATTGCGTCGCCAGAGGCCGTCTAAGACACAACATTTTCGGTAAAGCTCTTTTGACACCTACCGACATAAAGGAACAAAACCTTAGAGCAATACTAAGGTTCATTAAGGACCTACATTTGCCCTAAAGTTTTGGAGGGCTAAAGTTACAATAGATCTTATACGACGCAGAGACGAGAGGGGCCGCTCCACTAAGCCCGGCAGCAATAATAATAATAATATGGGGTTTGTACAATGACGACAGTTTCTTTTCACNTGAAAAATTTATTTACTACTGGTTCTGATATTGTACAGCGTCATTTTCAATTTAATGTTTCACCAGAAGATGATGTTTAATATCTTCAATATACGATATACAGTATATTTGTACAGAATTATTATACAGGTGTCTCCGAAATGCGTGTACAACGCAAGACCGCAGATTCCTTGGCTCAAAATAGGTCGATTTAAGTTATCCTATATCCAAAGTTGCTTCGTTTCGCCGCTAGATGACTACAAAGTTAGCAAAATATAAAGTCCCTAGATTTACAAAGTACCGCTGTTTACCTTGCCGCGGTTTGTCGCCATTGGCTCGAAAATCAAGCAGGAAATTTAAAACTGTCGTTCTATTGATAACATTACGCTAAAATTTCTTTCTTTTTTCTCCTAGTACTCTGAAGAGTTGAAAGTCCTTCTTACTGCTATTTTTCAACTCCAAAGGCAACAAGACGGCAATATTTTTGTAAATGGTGAGATGCAGTGACAAGTTGTCAAACCGCCATTTTGGCTCGAAAACAGGCGTCATGAACCGCGGTACTTTATAAATCTAGGGACTTTAGCAAAATAAATTCTGTTATTTTCTTCGCTTATTCTTCTGTTATTTATTCGAAAACGCGTAAATCAATTTAAACAATTTTTCAGGAGTGAGTTCCTAAGTTCTTCAATTAACATCTTTTTATGGTTTCCGATACAATTATAATTAGAGACACAGAAATGATGGAAAAGTCATCTTTTCAGCGGATATTACCCTATATTTTTTTTACTGGTCAGGCGAGAATTACATTATTATTATTTCTGAATAGCCCATTTTGTACTGAAACTTTCTGTCTCTTACAATAGGCTCCATACACCTCCAAACAAATTGAGCAACAATCGTTGTGTACACATGGTGTTGCTTGATGCGTTGCGCAACTGTTTGTAGAAATTCAAAATTGTTTGAAATTAGTTTCGCAACGAATGGCGTTGCGCAACCAATTGTATTGTCTATGAGATTTCTAAAGGGACAGAAAGGTGCATCCATAAACATTTTCACAGACAGTCGGGCCGCCCTAAAGGCAATTCAGACCCAGACGTGTGACTCCCCATTGATCAGAGAGTGTACCAGCAACCTAAGAGAACTTGCCACAGAAACATTGAACAATGAGAAGGCGGACAAGCTGGCCAGAGAGGCAGCGAAAACGCCCTTTATTGGACAACCCGGTTGTGGACTACAAAAAAGCCAACTAAAACAAATAATCAACAGTTGAGAGGCCTCAAAGGTAGCCTTACGCTGGAAAGAACTTCCAGCTCACAGACAAGCAAAAATAACAATACCAAAGAGCTTTTATGTCTCAACAAAGGGGACCTAAGGAAGCTCTCAGTTTACCTAACCGGTCATGCGCCCCTAAAATACCACTTCTTCGACATTGGACAAGCTGAGGATCAAACTTGTCGGCTTTACAACGACGAGTCAGAAACGGCTGAACATATACGTACTTTGTAATTGCGTCGCCAGAGGCCGTCTAAGACACAACATTTTCGGTAAAGCTCTTTTGACACCTACCGAAATAAAGGAACAAAACCTTAGAGCAATACTAGGGTTCATTAAGGACCTACATTTGCCCTAAAGTTTTGGAGGGCTAAAGTTACAATAGATCTTATACGACGCAGAGACGAGAGGGGCCGCTCCACTAAGCCCGGCAGCAATAATAATAATAATATGGGGTTTGTACAATGACGACAGTTTCTTTTCACGCGTGTTAGTAGAAAGTGGTGATATTGCTTCACTGAATGTTGTGTCTTGTTTCGCCAAAAATAGTGGGATCCACTCGTAAATAACTCAACTTAAGTTCTTTGAGAAGATTTGCGTGACTAAAAAGTGATTTTTTCTTTAGCCACTCTTTCATCCATACTCTCTGGTTCCTTTTTCTTTTTCTAACACCATCTTCCGAAGCAACAGCAATTATTGTAGCTAAACAGGCTGCTTCGTCAGGCGGCATATTTCCTTGCGTGCAGTATACCAGCAACAGAATTTATATAAAATTGTATATGGCTATCCTTATTTGCACAATAACCTGTTGTGCAACCTCAGTTTACGCAATTAGTTTACAGGTGTATGGGGCTTATAACATAAGCAAGAAAAAAGGTATTTTTAAATATTTGCAAGCCTTGTTTGTCATTGCAATTACAAAACCTCATCGTAGTTGCCACTGATGTAAGAAGCAACTTTGGATATAGATAACTTAAATCGACCTATTTTGAGCCAAGGAATCTGTGGTCTTCCGTTGTACACGCATTTCAGAGACATTTGTATAATAACCTAAATCGAAAAAACATTCAAGAATATATTAATAAAAAATTATACTTTTCTTAAATAATTCATCTGTCTTAAAAGAGGACAAAAACAGCCTGTAGAATATTTTTGTTGCATCACATATGGACAGGACATACATTGATTATTATCCAAATATATGGTAACAGTGTATGTAACATGTCGGATTCGTTACACTCATACCTTATTATACGGCGGTGATACATTCCTCGAAAGTTGGCCGTAAAACGAAATGGGCTATAACGATACCTGACGATCCTACATGTGTAGTACGTATAATATGTGTAAACTCAATTACACATATCGACTAGAAAAAAAACTTCAATTTTTATTTAAAATACTTTTTTATTTTATTTCATCAATAATAAAATATTTTAAATATAAATCCAATTTCCGTTGTTTGTAGACCAACATTGAAAAATTTGTCCAAAGTTTCTTGTTTTGCATTCCTTTCCTTTTCTCTTTTCAACTCCTGGTAGCAGCTTACAACTGTGGTAATACCACCAGAAACGTTGATACTGCGCTCTTTATTGGTATCATTTTGAAGAAGGATGGAAGACTTTTTATCATCCAAGTTTTTTTGTTGGATCTCCAAACAACAGATAATCTTTCATTGAACCAGTAAGAATATTGTTATCGATAGTGGCAAATAAATGTGAATTGACCTTTTACTTCCAAACCATTCTTTTCTAAGAAAACTTCATATTTCTCTTTAAAATCTTTTTCAAACTTTGTAATTTGGTAATTTTGAAAATACATAACGACAACAATTCATTATCGTTTCTTTTTTAACATTTATCCATGCATTGTGGAACATGATTACGCCATCAAGAACGTCTATTTTTAATTTTTTGGTTAGATCTATAGCTTCTCTTCTACTAACTTAAACAATAACTGTCGCTAGTAAAAGAAAGGTATTCACAGTTGAATTAGGCAGAAAGTAAGCTAGTTCAATACACTTTTGAAATATATAAAGTCTCCACGACTTGTAGATGGTTGACCAAAAATGTATTTACTAATTTTATTACTTTCATTTGCTATTGTTTTGTAAAATCATGGTAAAAATCGGAGTAACTCTTTGGCCTCTTTTCGAATAAAACCATTGTATGAGACCTTTATCAATATAAGTGCCGATGGTGCCCAAATGCTGCGCAGACAAAACAAAATTTTTGCAAATATCATTTGAAATTTCGCTCATCCTTTGTCGATATCTTTCTTTAAGATGCTCGATTAGTAATCTTGGTTTTTATGTCTCTTTCGAATTCGACAAAACTTTTCCATATATACTCTATAAGTTTTATATTCCGGTGATTGGGGTGGATGGCCAAGTTGTTTCCGTACATTATAAAGCAATTAATCCCTGATATTTGTAGCTATGAGCTTCTGATTGTTGTTGTGCTGGATAATCCAGTTTTGGGAGTTCCGGCAGCAAACTAAACATCACGCACAATGCCCATATGTTTTCAATGATACCTTCAATAACTGATATTTCCTAACGAAGTCGACAACATTGCACTTCACGACATGATGCTTTCACCATCATGTTTTTCAATACTTACTATACTTTTCCTGTTCTAAGTCTTCGTTATATTTCGTTACATTAAATCTACTTTCATCACTAAAGATAACTTGTTTCCAAAAATCATTGTGTTCATGATATGTAGAACATACGTCGAGGATTGGTATCGAAAGCATTTATGCTATTAAGCAATCCATATAGCCATTTTAATTTTTTCAACAGAATCAGGATTTCGAAGTGAGAAAATTTCGATCCGTTCTGGGTCGAAAACATTTGTAATCAATTCTAACGTATTTCTACGTGTATATTGTATATGAAATTTGAAAAATCGATTTTTTAAACTACTGGTCTAGCCCCTTAAAGTTATTTTAATTGTGAAAGAATTATTTTAACCCAGATATGCCTAAATTAAAACCACTTTACAAATCATAATAACTTTATTGAAAACTTATTTAAAGAAGCAAAACAAAGTCTTACAAACAAACCATGACAATTTGTTTTTTTTTAATTGAAAATTCGGGCCGTCCTACATGTAGGACATTCAGCACATGAATATCTATAAACGTAAAATTATTTATTAGTGTGATACTGAACAAAACACTTCGTGTGTACACCAATGTCACATTTTGCGCATCTCGTTGTAGTTTTTTGATGGCAATGAGCACACCTAGTTTGTTTTTCTTGGGGCATAACTAAATGATCTATTCGGTCGAACCGTATATCTATTTCGTGGGACCTACTGGTATGTCCTTTTTGATATGACGATGTTTTTTTATTCTGAACCAACAGCATTACAGCAATTCTCCTTCTAAAACTAAGTTGATCTAATTCTCCTCCATTCTTGCGATGCAAATGCCATGCGTTTTGAATTGCCATGTCAATACAGTGAGATATCAAAGGAAAATACCATTTTTTTCCTCTGATCGAAATTCGATATAAGCTGATATTTTGGTCAGAGCGGTCGACACCTCCCATATTTGTATTGTACATCTGTATAAGATGCGGCTGCTGTACCTGAATATTCTTCTTTTCTTTTTGCGAATAACGTGTGACCGAGTGAATTGGGGCAACTCCAGAAAAATTGGAACAAACAGAAACTACACTATTATCGTGCCACTTTACTGCAATTATATTCTGTTCTACAATTTTTGCATAATCATAACTTCCTCTGCGCTGCTTCTTTATGAGTTTTGAATCTATAAGAGAAATGTCTTTTAGCCTGTTTTCTCTAACCGTACCAGTAGCATAAAAATTCCAGTCAGTTAGTTTTTCGATCAACGGAATTGACGTAAAAAAGTTATCAAAAAAGAGATGAAATTTTTTATCTGGCCATTCCTTACGTAAAGCTTGCGCATATTCTAAGACTACTCCAGCACCAACTCCCAATTCAGAAAAGTTTTCACTTATATTTGTAGAGGCTCCTTGATAAGGTTCGAACCAATTCAAGTAACCTAACCTGGTACTTCCTACCCATAACTTATATCCATAGCGCATGGGTTTTCCTCGAATATACTGCTTACAGCTATGACGTCCATAATACGGAACCATAGCTTCATCAACTGAGTGCATTTCTTCAAGCGAGGAATTCTCCATGAATTTTTTATTCAACAGTGTGAAAAGCGGCCTTAGTTTAGCGAATTTGTCACCCTGGTCCAACTGCTGATTATCACAGACGTGAAGATTAGAAAACAAATACTCAAACCGGTCCCTTGTAATTGCTTCTGTAATCATGACGTTATGGCAATCTTTTTCACGTTCCCAGAACATCCTCCGTCTCGGTACTTGCATATATCCACTAAGTATCAAAACGCCTATAAAAGCGTTTACTTCCTGCTTTTCTATATTCGCTTTTCTATTTTTTTGTTGTGCGTACTTATTACTCTGATTCAAAATCAATTCTATTACTTCTTCGTCAAAAAATTTTGAGAAAAGCTCTAAGGGGTTTTCTGTGATCGCCGAATTCGTAGGACTATCAAAGTCGGTGGGCGGTAATTTCAAATCTTCTTTTATCCAACTGTAGTGCATCTGTCTCTTTTTAGTTTTTACTTTTTGTTTGTTTCTTGCTGCCGTGTTTTGTGATTGTAACTCTGATAGAGGTATATTGTCATCTGATGAAAAATCACTGTCGTAGTTACTTTCAATTACGATTTCCACCGGCGCTTGTAACTGTGATGCCGGTAGGTTATTCACTGTAAGATCATTTTCTGCTCCAGAATCTTCATCTGTCAGGTCGGCTGCAGCGTTTACAGGAGGAAATATAGTTATTTCATCAACCTGGCTGACAATGTCGTCATTGTCCTCAAGCATAGCAAGGGCTTCATGAAGCGAAAACCCCCTGTAATTAGATGAACGTGATAGTCGTTTATTATCCTAATGTCCTATATATAGTACACCCGTCTTTCACCCCCCTAATTTATACTCTAATTTACTGAATAATGCAAAACTTTTAAATAATACTAATTATACAACTATTTATTGTTACTGTAATCAAAGAATCATAATATTATTCTAATTTCTATAATTGAAAATTACCTTACCTTTCAAAGCGAACCGGGCAATAATCCATTTCCAACTTATCTTGACTTTCGGATGCACTTAAAACAAAATCTAAAGAAAACACCTAAACTGCAAGTTATCACTCTCACTGCTACATCTAAAATGCACGACTTCATGTGACGTGCGCATTTCCAAGCGCTCATGACCTTGCAAGTTTCAACAGGAATTGACCGTCCTAAATGTAGTACATTAGGCATATCTGGGTTAAGTTAAGCAACTTACTTTTGTACATTACATCTTTTTGCAGAATAGGTTAGATTTTTATAATTAATTATAGATTGTTTTTGACACTATAAAACATTGACTTTGATGCTTTGTCAAGTGACATTAGTTTCATAAAGACAAAAATGAATTCATCTTTAAATCTAACAAACACGTTTAACACTGAAACACAAAAATTGGATTTAATTTCACAATTAGCGTTTGTAAAGCTTATACTCGGTGAGTTTAAAAGTAATTTTATACGATTTTGATTAACAAATATTTTTAGTTTTGTTAGCTAGGGCTGGTTTTATTTTAATTGAAGCGGGTTGTGTCCCAACGGAACAATTTTACGATTTACTCCTACCAAATATAATAGATTTTTCAATATCCAGTGCGTCATATGGTCTTTTAGGGTGTATATTATCGTTTGGGAAAAGTTCTATTTATGGAATTATTGGTTATGGAACTTATTCAAATTTGTTTATGAATCATGTAATTTATGGTTTGTATTTTTTTTGGAAATATCTTTAAAAAGATTAAGTTTTTTTTTCTAAATAGGTTATTGCATAGTTATTTTTGGATCAGCTGTAATTACCACAACTATATCGAGTCGATTACATTTTATTGCATACTTAATAATTATTTTTATGTACTCTGGAATAACTCAGCCAATTTTACTGCATTGGGTTTATAATCAAAATGGTTGGATGAAAGAAGCAATTTTTGGAAATTATACTGCTGTTTTACATGATTTTGGGGGTAGTTTAGTTTTGAATTTACCATGTGGTTTAATTTCAATGCTAGGATTATTGGTTTTGGGTAGAAGGTTATTGATTTTAAATAATATTGATGAATATTCTCTTGGATCTGAATCACCTTTATTAGTAACATTAGGATATTTTTTGGTTATAATCGGATATATTAATAATTACACATTGGTTAGTTTTAATAAAATTGAAAATCGCATGTTTTTAAGTGTTGTTTTGGCAATTTCTGGAGGTGGAATTTCATCCATAATGGTTGAGTTATTTGTAAAGAAATTAAATTTTAATTTTTGGCTAATAACTAGATTGTTACAAGGATTTTTAATTGGATTAACTTTTACTTCGTCATTTATCGATATTATTTACCCGCCAATTTCCTTTTTAATTGCATTTATTGGTGGATGCGTAATTAGTTGTCATTCAAAATTATATTTTAACTTGGCTATTCAAGATTATTGCAACGTACATACAAATTTTCTTTTACCTGGAGTTTGGTCGCCGATTGCTCACGCAATAATCGTTGCTATAGGGCCTTTAAAACATCAACTACCTGGAGAACCCCTTTACAATTTTTTATGGTCGCTTGGATGTATGCTAATAATTTTATTTTTTATCGTTTCAATTTATGGTTTTTTATTCCTTGTACTTTGGTGTACTGGATTTTTACGAAACCAAAGCGAAATAATTGCCCATAAAAGAGCCTCGAATATGTTAAGATATACAACTCAATGTACTTTACATCACATAATCGATCTTACCGAAGATGATGATATCTTAGAACCTGGTGTTTCTGGAAAAACGCCGAATGAACAAGTTCATAAAATTCAACAAGAAGAAAATCTGAAATGTTTTCGAATTAAAAATTTTCCACCAAAAATGTTTAGCAATTATTCGAGTAGAAATTCACCTCAAAATAGTATCGATGGTTTAAATAAAAATATTTACACGATTTCATCGAATTTAGATGCACCTTGTGGATCAACTACTAATCCATTGTCTGGGGGAGATAGAGTGGATTTATCTCAGATTTTTAAGTATCAAAAAACTGTGAAATGTAAAAGTGTAAATGTAGAATAAAATTTAAGAAAAATAAGATTTCTATGAACCAATTTATTGCATGAAATTAAATTAAAAAAAAAGAAATATATTCTATAAATTGGGTATCATTCATATTTGATAATTCATTGAGGTTATTCAAGGCATTCTTTTGAAATGCTTTAAAAGTGTGTACAAGCCACAATGTGATTTACTATCTCTTTCTGCCAAAAGTCAAGGTCCCTTAAATTAGTGATCTTCATCATTGTAACCAATTATGTTTGGATCAGCTGTAATTAGCGCCACTGTATCGAGTCGATTACATTTTATTGCCTACTTAAATGCTTTAAAAATGTGTACAAGCCGCAATGTGTGAGGTCGACATATGGGATTTACTATCTCTTTCTGCCAAAAGTCAAGGTCCCTCAAATTAGTGATCTTTATCATCGCAACCGTTCGATGAAAGAAATAGCGATAAAGTTAGCTCTGTGAACCTGGAACCCGATTTACGATATTTTGGTTTTATTAGTACCATTCGATAGAGAATCGTTTGTACCTCAGGATCTAAAGAGATAACAAAATTTTGAATTGCCGGAACCCCACTTTTTGATATTCTAATTTTATTAATACCATTCAGTAGAGAATCGTTTGTACCACTTTCGATTTCCTTTGTACCTCAACCACTTCCAAAATACAGCGATTTTTTGATCTTTCAGAATACCGCCGAAAGTGTGTATCTCCGTTATTAATAGAGATATCGCAAAACGGTCGATGGAATTCGATAGACAATCGTTTGTACCACTTTTGTTTACGTTTGTACAGTTCTGTTCAGATATAATGCGAAAAGAGCCGCTCGTAGAGGCATAACATTGTACTAGAAACGACCTACGTTCACGAGGCATTCAATCCAAGTTTTACCTGCTCTATAGTGTTGTAAAAGTTCCGAACAGGCAAGCGGGGTGATGTGATTTATGGTCAAGATGACTGAATCACAAAGAAAAATTAAGAAAATAAATAAGTATAAGCAATCCATTTACTTTACACAATTCCTGTAGTAAATGAAAATAATTACTAATAATTACTGTATTACTTTGGTAATACAGTGGAACGATAAATCGAACCTCATAAGGAATGAAAATTATATATTGATAGTAAGTTATATATAAACTATATATTGAAATATATCCATAACCATTTTAATATAATAAAATCAAAAATCAATATAATAAAATATAATACTCCTATAGTATAACAAAAAATATAATATATTATTATACATATAAAATATAATAAATATTATAATAATCTAATTGGGGAGAATTTTATAAGGTCCATTATACCATCAAATATTATCAGTATTTTGTATAATACCCATTATTCTCTATGCAACATTGCAATCTGGTAGACATCGAATTTACTACTCTTTCGCATGCATCCTTGTATGTCATTTGAAGGAGAGTTTCATAAAGCGTTATTTATAAGTTTTATATTATATTTATTATATTACTGAGATTTTTATCTGACGTTGTGTTTATAGAAATACTCTAAAATCATTTATTAGAGGATCATATAAAAAATCGTGTATTTGTTGTTCTTAAAAATATGAAAAAAAATTTAAAATAAAATAAAATTAACACATTTAAAAAAAGGGTGATCCATTCTTCGGCCCACATCAAACTGGGACGGTTTTACCTGGGTTAAGGAAGAGGGTAACTTCTTCCAGTACCAGCGTCATGTCGGAGCTAACAGCGGACGATTCGCATTAAATCTGAATAGAGCTGTACCTCAACCTCTGGACACCAATATGGATTAAGTCGATCGTCGGTTTGCGCGATCAATTTACAATCACATTCTACGTTTTTCAAAAATGTACTTAAACTTCTAAGTCAATATTTATAATATATTCATCTCCAATATTGTTTACGTCGACATTTATTTCCTTCTATTATTATCCTTTTCAACCTCCGATTTAATCCCCTGAATTAATTGTTTGTGGATGGAGCCCGCCAAATTTTTCTATCTAATTTTATTTAGATAACGTAACAAGGATTTTTAGTGTCACTTTAAAAATAGAAACAAATTAAGAAAAATGCTCAACATCGTCTATTTTAAGAATCTTTTGTAACATTTGACGTAATCTCCTGATGATGCTACGAGTAATGTAGCGAAACCAGTAGAGAAAAATAACTAGAATAAAATCTATATAAAGTGCAAAATCGCTTTGTTTTTTACATTGAATATAAAATGGAATATATGAAAATATATCAATTTAGGATTCAGAACATGCTTAAGCAACATGATGGAGTATGTTTTGATGCCGAGTACAGCTGTCTAGATCGTTTGGTCACTTTACTATGGCACGTTAACTTTTCGAAATTTGGAAGTATCATAACTTCATTTATTTAAATGAAGTTATGACTAGGCGCCATTTTGCCAATAATGTTTTTTTTGCTTAGCTCTAGTTCAAACGATAGTCACAAATATACAGGGTCATCCACGACGACCGTCCATTAGAACTTTACAGGGTTCTGGTCAATACAAAAATTTGAAAATTCAGTTTTAAGTATTATTAATTGCGTTCTCTTCGACTAAAATATTTTCAGATTTCTAGCACTTCCGGTTATACCGGAAGTCGCCACCTACTTTATTTTTTTAAATAGAACACCTTATATATTTTTACATATTTGGATTTGTCCGTTTTCAAGGTTTATGAATGACTTTACTTTTTGCAATTTGATTCGGCCGTTCTCGAGTTATTCGAATTTTTCTAGAAAAATCTGCTCCAGCAGACATTTGTTAAAAAAATCAGAGAACACTCGATTTTTGGGATATCAATTTAGGATTCAGAACATGTTTAAACAATATGATGGAGTATGTTTTGGTGCCGAGAACAGCTGTCTAGATCGTTTGGTCACATTACTATGGCACGTTAACTTTTCGAAACTTGGAAGTACCATAACTTCATTTTTTTAAATGGCACCCCCCATATTTTATTACTTAGTCGTCTTCGGTGTCTCTTTTTACATCTTTTATATCCGATATGTCCTATACCTAACATTTATAGTTTGGAAGATAATTAGAGTTTTTTGAAAAATGCACACACATCGATATTTAACCTAGTGTGTCATGAATACCGTCATGTAGTGAATGACCGGATGAAGTGGAAGTTTGAAAATTTGTAGACTTGTGATGTTTGATGCCAGCTTTTTAACTAAAGTATATTCAGGTTCCGGGTACTTGTGGTTACACCGGAAGAGGTGACAATTTTCATATTTCAAATGGAACACCCTGAGTTTTATTACATTTTTCAATCAAAAATGTCAACTACAACGTTACTTTTTATAATTTATAAATCATCTAGTTTACCGCCGGAAAAAAAATTTGGTGTTGTGGAATGTTGTTGTGGTTATGTATTATCAGAGGATCAGTAAGGAAAGAGTAAACAGTTTGACATTTGCTAAAGCTATGGTTTATTTCTGTTGGTGTGATGACTAGGTTACTTTTTGTAGTGATCTGTTCTCAAGAAATGCCACATTTGGAATTTAGTAATGAGGATTATTTGAATTTGATAATAATTTATGGAGAGTGCAACCAAATAATTGCGTATACGTGTCGGCTGCAACATACAAATGGCCTAAAATTGAACAAAAATTTCAAAAATGTAATGAAATACAGGGTGTTCCATTTGAAATATGAAAATTGTCACCTCTTCCGGTGTAACCGCAAGTACCCGGAACCTGAAAATATTTTACTAAAAAGCTGGCATCAAACATCAGAAGTCTGCAAATTTTCAAAAGGCCACTTCATATGGTTATACACTAGGTCACACTAGGTATTCATGGCACACTAGGTTAAATATCGATATGATATGTGTGCATTTTTCAAAAAACCCTAATTATCTCCCAAACTATAAATGTTAGGTATAGGACATATGGGATATAAAAGATGTAAAATGAGACGCCGAAGACGACTAAGTAATAAAATATGGGGGGTGCCATTTAAAAAAATGAAGTTATGGTACTTCCAAATTTCGAAAAGTTAACGTGCCATAGTAAAGTGACCAAACGTTCTAGACAGCCGTTCTCGGCACCAAAACATACTCCATCATGTTGCTTAAGCATGTTCTGAATCCTAAATTGATATCTCAAAAATCGAGTGTTCTCTGATTTTTTGAACAAATGTCTGCTGGAGCTGATTTTTCTAGAAAAATTCGAATAACTCGAGAACGGTCGAATCAATTTGCAACAAGTAAAGTCATTCATAAACCTTGAAAACAGACAAATCCAAATATGTAAAAATATACAGGGTGTTCCATTTAAAAAAATAAACTAGGTGGCGACTTCCGGTATAATCGGAAGTGTTAGATATTTGAAAATATTTTAGTCGAAGAGAACGCAATTGATAATACTTAAATCTGAATTTTCAAATTTGTATTTTGGCCAGAACCCTGTAAAGTTCTAATGGACGGTCGTCGTGGATGACCCTGTATAGAAAAGAAAATCATTTGATTTTTGAGATTTAGATCATTTCAAGGATAGATATTGTGTCAACCAGCAACTTAGACAATCCACGCACCAACTTGGTTGAGGGATAAGGTAAAGATTATTTTCTATAAACAATTTCTAAATAAGTAAATATATCATGAAAATATACGCAAAATATTAAATTGAAATACCACATAATTTGGCAGCAAAAAGATTCCCAAAGAAATCATTTTATTTGATACATAAAAAGAGACTCCCCTCTTAAAAAGCTTGAATTAGATTATACTAGTATTATTTGGAGTGGTTTACACTCAATTTCAAATTATTTCATCTTTTGACATTGTTGATAATTCAAGCTTTGTAATTTTTCAAGCACAAAATATAGCACGTATTCATAATTCAAGTAATACGTTTTATTTTTCTAAACTACTTTATCACCCTTAAATGTGTCTTAATTCGTTATTAGGGAATGAATTTCCAAACATCCCCTCCTTAATTTATTGTGTGAAAAAGGAATACTGGAGCTGAATAAACAAAAAATGTAAACACGTCGGGGCGAAGCGGTTTTAAATCGTTTCTTGGTTTTCACCTTTCAATAAAAAAATTACTTGTTTTCTCGAAACATTTCGAATAAAACTTATGTCATTTTACTAAAATAAAACGCAATTAATCGAATTTTAATATTTAACACTTCCTCCAGAAGAATCAGATGTCCACCAAATAATTAAAACGAAGCAGCCAAGACGTTGGATAATGCATGATCCCTTATTTTTTGTGTGATGAA